GGGAAGTTTCTATCACTCAGAAACAGCCCTATGAATGACATGAAGGCAACCTATCATAACGACCGTGACAGAATTACTCCTTTAAGGGTGTGGGCTGATCCTTGTCTGAGCACTGTATTTTAAGGTGCAACTGAATTGAATATCCAATGCAGGACATTCCTGAAGGTCCTCTGTTCTGTGTGGCTCGAGTTACTTTAAGCTCTTTCTTTTGAATTAGTAGGGAAATGTTTTATACAGGTTTCAGATGTTCTGCAACACTGGGCTCTTTGTTCATTCACTGCTTTTGTGTGTGGCCACTGGCTCATAGGTCACAGAGCTAGTAGAATCCATTTACTAGAATTCCAGTTAAAGCATTTTCTGGGCCTTCTTTAAAAAATGTGGTGATTATTTGTTTTCAATTGCATGTAGTACCAATTAATTATATTACATCCTTTTATGCACGCAACTAACATTTGTGTTTCTATTTATTTTATCCCTTATTTTGGTCACTATCGAATTGTTTTTAGACAGCACAATATTTCTTAAAGCAAGCTTTCGATTAGTTCTCCTTTTTCTCTCGAGTTAAAAGCTCTGCCACAGGCACAGCTTGAATGACAGAAAAAGTCATTTGTAGGTTTCTTTCAATTATACTGCCTGTATTGGGAGTCAGTGTTCAGCCAGAGCAATAGGTTCTAGGTTCTAGTCCGTGCTGAGCACACTTTACAAGTCAAATTACAACTTTGTAGATTGTTTCCTTCTTTGTGTTGGTTTTTCTCAGATAAAGAAGATGGATAATGAAAATGTAAAATGTCAAGTGTTGACCTGTCATCATATTTTTGAGACAGAGGACTTATCTACAGGATCGTCACACACTCTGATTACTAATGGTGTTTCGAAAGCTCGAGTGCAGTGCAGTGGGTCTCTGCTGTTGTCAAGCCACAGCTGCCTCTGGCCTCGTCTCCGTGCTGGGCTGACACCCTGCCAGGCTGCAAGTGGAAACTGAATCCCAGCACCCCTGGCCAGCTACAGAAACACGTAATTGTGCTTTTCAAAATATGATGCTTTTAATTAAGGGATTATAACAAAACAATAGCTCAGTGTTTTCTTTGTCATATGCAAGCTCTTGATGTGCTCTAGACTTTCTGTCAGCCCTCCATAACTGGTCATCGCGGTCTGCTGACACTCGTTCACTCCTAACCATCTCTCTGTCCAAAACAAGAGTGTTGTAATACTCTCTACACAATTAAACCTCAGGTGGCTTTTGAGGGCCAGTAGATCACTTCCTGTACCTTTTCCTCTTCTTGTTCAGTAACCTGGCTTGTCTCTGCCTGTTTGCTCAATGTCTGGTGTCACTGCCAGGCTGGAAACAAACCCTTCATCCACAGGCTGTCTTCCCAAGAGCCCCGCGGAGCGCAGACACAATTGGAGTGATCTTGCTCTTTCACAAAGGCACCTTTGTTTTTCACTGTAACTCCACTTCTCACTGCGTGGTCTGAGGGTGCAGCCCCACACCTGTGCTCCGCCAGCTGCAGGCACTGCGCCGCGTTCATAGGCCCTCCCCTGGCCTTCCTCTTCGTCTTTCTGTGACACGCATCTCCACGGCGTCTTCCGCTTGCTGTAACACTCCTGCCCAGGGCGGTCTCACTGGTCATGTCTAGGAAACTAAGGGTTGAAACAGTTCAGGTGGGCAGCTGCATCAGCAGGCGCAGGCTGTAAAGGAACAAGCAAAGGTTTATTCCTGCTGAGAAGAGAAGAAAAGAAGCGCAATGAAGAAGGCTCCACAGCCAAAATGGAATAAACCGAGGAATAAACCTTTACTTATTCCTTTGAAACTAAGGGTTTGTTAACTATTTTGACTCTGCATCTCCTCAAATACACCTCTTCACTCCCCTCTTGGCCATGACCACATTCGAAGAGACGCTGACATGCGCCCCAAGACACGTGCTGCTGAGAAAGCAGTAGTTTTGGACTTTGAAACACTTGGTTTTTGTTTGCCATTGGGCAGTCAGTTCCTTGGCTCCCACAATGTGAAACAGTGGTTGTAAAGGTATTACATACCTTTGTATAATAAGGTGTACAAAGGCATAATAGTACAAACAAAGGTATATGAGTGCATAATAATGAATAATATACACTTTTAACATGTATATATGTTTCTGGGAGGCAGAGCCATGTAGTGAACTTTCTTCCAATGCGATCATTCAGATTCCACGCAAAAGCTGGGCAATCTATTAGTCTTCTTTAAAATGCAATTCCTTTGTACCGATGATCTTTGGGATAAACAGACAACAGTCCCTCTAAGGGAATCTTGATGTACAGTATTTGTATGAATTTATGATATATGTATATAAAATTATTAGTTGTCGGGATACAACTCTGTTGCAGCTTTGCTAATCACAGAACATTAACCCTTGTAAAACATGGTGGCTTTGTTGGACCAATCCCTACAAAAGCATCCTCTACATCCAATTTCCAGCACTCTGTCACATTTCCTCCTTAGATTAAGCTAGGGTGTGAGATCAGGACTGCTGATCTCTTCCATTTAATGTGTAAGTGCGTTGCGTAATGCAAAAGCCAGCACTACAAAGGATTAACCCCACACATGTTTCCAGTCCCAGCTCCAGACATACAGTGTATGTGTATTTACATATATATAGTGGGTCTCCAATATGGGTCTTTGCAATACATCTATCTATACCATAGAAAAGTAAGAGAATATCTACTTTCTTTTTAAATTCTATGTGCAAATAAAATCACCATTGAGTTACGAGCTATGTCACAGAATTGTACTTTATGGTAATCCTTAGCAGTATTTTTTCTCTCTGTGGAACTGTTGACCTGTGAAGGTTATGGATTAGTATGTATGCTGTTTGATTAACAGTAGAAAAAATGGGAGTTCTTGAAGAAAAATTAAGGACTACGAATCTTTTGTCTCATTTACACTGACATGTGTCATATTAGAGGATGCAAGTGACTGTGGTGTGATGAAACAACCCAATAGTTTATCCTCCTTTCCAGCATGGCAGTCACTCATTCTGGATGAGTCTTTGAGTGATTTATGATTTATTCTAGGCTCTAAGTCTACATTTTACAGTATATGCCTTATGACTTTATGGTTCAAATATCTGCAAGCTTGCGGTGTTGTTCCCTTTGGAAATTAATGGCATATATATTTTTTTTATTATTTAATCCCTTATTTTACCCACCAAACCTTATTTACAATAACAACATGCCTCAGAGGCTGCCAGAGGCTACAGCATTACAGAAAACAAAGCAGTAAAAGAAAAGAACAATCAATAAAGTATAAATAACATAACAGGACACCAAAGTGTTACCAAGTGCTTTCTCAAAAACAGAATTAGAGGCCAGCATTTAAACTAGTTTATGTGTAGGGAAAGGATATAATAAGATTTGTTGTGAGAAAGGAAAAAATGTCTGTACTTGTCATTTATTAAATTATGTCCAGTGTTGCTGGCTTAGAGATGGGGTTTTGTATTTCATTAAAATATTGTAAATATATAAATGAAGCAAAAAGCAGGACCCAGAACAAAACCTTGTGGAACTCCCTTTGCAGCTAGATGAGGCTGTGCAACTATTCCCCAAGATCACATTCAGTCTGAGAGTTCTGAGATCATGCAGGAGAGTCTATTACAAGATCAATTCTGCACAATGTATTCCCCTTAATTGAGTGATTTGCAATATCAAAAATCCTTGAATACATAAAAAAAGAAAGAAATCTTGTAGTATTTGGTGAAATTTAATTCCAGGCACACTCAAAAAAAAAACAACAGAAAAAGCAATGCTGTGTTTAAAACACAAAATTAATTAAACCTGCCTCCCTTCCAGTCTTTTCAGTCTCTCAATGGGGCAACGGGTTTCATTTATTGCGTTAGGTTTGTGAGTAAAACTAAACTAGAGGACAGATGGTGGAAGCTGCAGGCGTTGGCTGATACTGGCAAATGTGTTTAAATGTATTTATTTTTTTCTTTTTTTAAATGGGGAAAAAATAAAGTTCCCTCTCCCGTGTCTTTCCAGATTCACTGCGCGGTTCGCCAGCAATGGGTGCCGGCCAGGTCACAATAGCAAAAGCCCTCAGGTGATCCAGCTCGGAGAATCTACAACTAAGGCCCTTAAAAAAATACCTTTAGCTCAGTGGAAGGTAACCATTCGATGCGAATGCTTGGAGACTGAGGTTTTCGTAATAAATATAAAAACTGATTATTTTGGGGTGTATCGGGAAATAAGATGTCATTTAAACTGTAGTTCTGGCTCGGGGGTTCTTGCTGCCTGCCGCTGTATCAGTCGGGTGTGAAATAACCTCAGGTCCTGAGAGTGAGTGATGTGTTCCTCGTTTTTGTTTCTTTTTCTCCGTGTCGAATATATATATATCATATATCGTTTTTGTATTTGGAGACTTCTATTGAGGGGGGTAGTTTCATTTCTTTGTGACTGCACTTTGAGAAGGGGCATCGCGATAGTTGATGCGCTTTCCCCGCAGAGCAACAGGCAGGATGTGGACACTCGGAGCGCCGCGCCGGCCCCCACAATGAGCACATTAGCGGCTGTTTTCTCATGAAGTGATTAGTCCCGAGGGTGAAGATAGACTGGTGGGTTCTTTCAGCTTCTGTTTAGCTGCAAAGGGAAAGTGACGGGCTTCAGATGGCCCTGCCATTACCTGCAAAAAATATGTGTTGATCGGTAAACTTGAAACAATAAGCGGAAATCATGCCTGGTGTCAAAATGATTACGTTGATGTGAAATTCTGTTTTCAGTTCAATTCAATATGCTTTATTGGCATGACCAGTAAGTAAAATCAGCGTTGCCAAAGCAAAACAATGGGTAAATCCCCAAGTCTGAAACACGTTGTATCCTTTAAAGGACCATTATATCTGCTTTGTAATAATCCAAATACAAGAACCAAACATCGCATTTGGATGGCGGGTGCATTGGGTGCGATCGTACTGTTTTCACAGCCTCTGGGTCTTTGAAATGCTTCCTGCGTGTGTGGACAAGCAGGTCTCCTATCTCAGAGCTGTGAGGAACGGGCGGACCTGCAGGCGCATGGTGGAGAGCACGACGGGCGTTTGGAGGTCTGGTGGCGCAGAGATCCGTTCATGACGGGGTGACTACCGAACCACAGTCGGGGGGCAGAAGTGGAGAAGAAAAACACGAGCTGAGGAACTTGGCTGAAAGCGTATCTGTGCTACCAGAAACCTCTGAGAGGTACCGTGTCCCACACACTTCCGTGCAGCCAGTAACTCAGGAATGTATTCCAAAAAACAGTGGTAATTTGTCAGGTCTCCGTCCTTCTCTTCTACAGCCACCGTTTGTCTCATTGCCATCGTTTAAATGGCGTGAGACAAAAAAGCAATTGAAAGCCGTTTAGTAGCTCTACAAAACGCATTTTTGTCTTTTGTCAAGGTCAAAGGCAAATAAAATTAGTGGAAGGGTGGGTCAGTGTCTCAGGACTCGCAGATTTGTCCGAGCGCAGGCAGTGAGAGAAATGCATCTCAACTGCACATTAATGCGTGTTTCAACACCGTGATAGAAAACTACAAATTTTAAAGTAAATTCTTTAATCTGATGCTAAGACAGAGAATCGTTTTAGATAAAATGTGATGGATTTCAGCTTGGATAACTAATATAATAGCTGGTGAATTTACTAAAGAACAATTAGATTATTCTACTGTCTATTACATATTCCTGTTTTTATGTGCACTCTCAAGCTTATAAATAATACAGTATGTAATTTAAAAAAACTGACATTCTTAATGGAAAATGAGATCTAATGATGATCTACAATTGAAGTACTGAATTTTCCAGATCAGTGTTTCTCCATCTCATTTTGTTGTTGAATAAAACTCTCAGCTCTGGTTCCCAGTTTCACAGCTGGTGCTCAGCTATGTGCTGTGCTTCAGGTCAATCCGCCTGATGAGCTGCAGTACCATCAGGGCTGGGTGTTCTGTGCCACTGAAGGCCTGAAAGGATGCTGTAGGACCCAATATCTGAATGATATTGCTAATTACTGCATTAAACTTTATCCAGAAATGTCCCATCTTGTGTAAATAATGTTGATCCCCTCAAACCCAGTTTTAAACAAACTACCCTGCTAACTACTCTGCGGAAAGGCTGATATCGAGCCCCATAAAAATGTAAAATATTGCAAATTATACGGATGTTATTGCAGTCATATAATAACCTTTAAGAAATGGAAATAAAGAAAAAAAACTGTGACCAATTTACTGCTCCTGGTGACGCACAGCCTTGCAGTCAAGTATATCTTTTCTGCTGCATTTCTTACTCATTCTTGCTACAGGCTTTTCCATCAAAGTTTCTTAGCGAAGCTTAGTTATGTAATTGGAGACGTGTCTGGAGTCTAAAGAAGTGATCCCTGTAGCAGGCAGTTCACCTCCCTGCAGTATTTCTGCAGACTCCTCTGCCTGCTTCAGTCCTGGAGATTAATCGTTACTGGTCATGAAAGGTACTTGGGGAAAAAATTAATTGACTTGCCATAAATACGTGCAATATATGTGGACACCTCTTCACAAGTTGTAATTGCTACAACGCTTGGGCATTGTGTTGAGCTAAGCAGTAAAAACCTAACAGACGTAAATAAACTGGGGACAGATGTGCAGTACGAGCCCACCGATATTAAGCTGTTTAAAAACACCCTTTGGATGCTGCATTAAAGAGGGTAAAATTACACTTACTGTATAGAATAAAGAAATGTAGAATATGATAAAATATTACAGTATTTCTAATATTCAGGTTAGTTAAAAATATAGAATAGGTGCTTGCTGAAAAACAGTATTTATAATGTGTTGTAAATGAGCCTATTTCTGTTGTTCCACCAAGAGGGTGGTGTTAATGTGACTGTGGAAAATTCAAAGAGAGCATGAAGTCTTCTGTCAGGACAGTAGTAGCTGCCGGTGCCTGTGGTGTGTGCTGTGGAAATACGGAGATGGCAGCTGCTGTCGTCTTCAAGCAGCTCTGCAGCACCCTGGCCGCCAGTGCTGCGACTCTGCCTGGTGTAAGCAGGCTGACCTTCTGGAGCAGTTAGTGCTGCTGAAGGCCTGGCTGCTCTGTTGGGGGGAAGTGTCCCTGACTTGTGCACCGGGTGTGTGTGGGGAGCAGCAGCACGTGCGCACAAGTGTCCTTCTCCATGAAATCTGCTCAAATTCCTGATCGCTGACCGTGCGGAACCCCTCAATCACGGAGTTCCAGTAGCTTTTCCTCCTCCTGAGCCCTGGCTGCCAAGGTGGCGTCTCATTGATTTAATCTCGCAAAAGTCCTGGACTGGAACGTAAGAAGAGCCAGAGCCGGGATATTCACCCTCCGCCACACGGACGTGAGGTTTAGTTGCCACAGACCACCTTGAGTTTGGGTGGGCTTGTAGCCTTGCATCACGTCACTGTTCTCTCCTACCTTGTGTTTCACGAGCAAGACGGCAGCTGAAGTTGGTGTGACGGCAGAATCATTTATCGAAATTAGTGAAAACTTTGGCTTCGTCCACTTGGATGAGGACCCACCTCCCGGCTGTAGGACAGGCAGGCCAGGACCCCCAGGCTTGGCGAAAAGGCAACCAAGGCCCAGCTGTAGAGGCGGAGGTGGGATGCGACAACAACAAGCGAGGAGGAGAGGGTGACATGGGGTATATGTGTGAATTGAGGCGATTACGTCTGCATTAGGTGCAAGTTGCGTCATCTGAGCTTGATTAGTGTGGCTCCCTTCATTCCTCCCAAACGTTTGTTAGAACTCCATTTCAAAGCCTGTCTGTTGGACTGAGCTTTTATTACTTTATTAGAACATTAAATGTGCCACAGACGTCTGGTGGGGTGCAGGCTGAACTGAGCAGCACACTCCCATTCGCAAGCCGTACAGCATCTTGTGCACGGCTGTGTCCTGAAATGCAGATCGGCTCTTTTTCCACAGATAACTGACCCTATAAACGAGAGATGACCAGAAGGACATTGCAGTGTTCTTTTTATGTTTTTAGTCTTTCTAGCTGTGTTGGTGCTTGATATTGAGACTCCGGACAATTAGCAGTCCTGCAGTGCTGCTCCATTACAGTGTCACTTCTAATCTCGCGCCTCCCATGAGACACAGATCGACTTTTCTCTTTCCTTAGCTGCTAATGACATAACAATTGGCGTTTAAAAATAGCTCAGTTTTAAAAGGAAAGTCAATGAGCAAAATACAAATTTGGAATTCATAAAAAATCAGACTGGCAGTCTTGTTGCTTTGGTTTGTATGTTTTCGATTGCATTGCTCACCAGCACCATTCGTAATCAGCTTATGCTGCTGGAATAGCACTTTAAGGCATCACTGGGTCCATTAATGCAGTGCAATTGTGTTCATTCCTTTGAAATCTACATTGTGATGCACATTTTACAGGCCTCCTGCAGCACAAATGTAAGTTAGCATTACCTATCTATTTATACAAAGGCCCAGGTGATCTAACCAGGCTGAATAATATAAGCTTCATCTTTACAATGGTATCATCTCTTCAACACTGTGTCACTGCATCGCAGGCCTACAATTGCTTGTTTAAACAGGGGTGATCTAACACAGCCCTCCAGTTATGGGCCCACCGCACAATTGCAGTTAGTGACACTGAACCGGATGCATCTTAACATTACCTATCCACATTATTAGTTATAGGAGTAGACAGCAAGATCGTCAGCGTTTAGCTACGGAACAGCGTTAACTCCAATGTCCCATCCAAACCAATGTACTCAAGCATTTGTCGAGAAGCTGTTTGCTCTCAGATTTACACATGTGCTAATTGTAATTCCCCACCACTATTGGAAATGTGTTGCTGTTTTGAGCCAATGTAGAATTTTGTGAGCCTTGCGCTCATCTTCATGGTGCTCCTTGTTAACATGAAACAACAGAAGGCAGTGGAGGTTTAGTCTTGTCCCAGGTAGAATGTGATTGGTGAGAATAGGAACCCTTCACAGCAGAAAACCAAACATGATTTAAATCTTAGCCTTTCATTTATCGGAGACTTCTATTCCTTCATTGCTGTATTGATTTTACTGTAGCAAAGGAATGTAACATTCCATCCCATAGAACATCTCTCCATCAATTCCATGAAATCAGCTGCTGACTCCACACTTGCTCGATATGTGATAGCTGTGTTTGACAAGTCCTGTAATATATGCTGCATTACCAAGCGCAATGACTTCCCGAATTACTCATGGTTTGGTTATTGTCTCCGTTTTATCTTGGAAAATGACATTTCCCAGATATTTTTCTATCTCTCTAAAGGCAATATTATTGCCATGTAATGGGTGCATTTTTGTCCTGAGCCTGAAACGGCCTCTGCGTTGTCTGGTTCTAACATTGGACACAGCGTCTGGAACAGTACAAGATGTACCGGCACAGATACAAGTTCCAGTTCTATGTAACTCCTGCTCTTCTGTCTAAACAGTTTAGACTTGGGACCCTCTGTATGCTGCAGAGCCGCGGAGCTTGTGAAAGAAACATTTGCTGTCACCTTTCAGTGCTTCTGACAGAATGAGAATGGATGATGTCAAGGAATTACAACGCTCAGTTCGGCTTAATCCCCTATATCTTGCTCATGTCTACCTCTGGGATTTCTGATGCCTGAATAAGAACAAGCAGCCCAAAAAAGTGTAGGAAGAATGATAAAAAACGAGAGAAAATGTCAACAAAGAAAACAGCATTTTTTTTCAGAACAGTTTTTTCACATTAAGTCATAAAATACTATTTTTCTCGACCAAAAATAATCTGTCAACAAAATTAAAACATTTTTTTCTTTGTTTCTTTGTAATTTGTGTCCAAACATTTACACAGTACTTTCTGCACATTAATATAGCAGTTATGCCTTCAATTTGTTTTTATCTTCTCCATAAAAGAACCATCTAAGGACATCACTATAAAAAAACAACTTTTTTGTCAACAATGACCCCCAGAAGTCTCATATAATATAAGGCTCAAAAATTAAATCTGAAACTAAAAAAAACAAGCACAATTTATTAATTTATTAATTTTTCTGAAGACGTGTCAAATTTAGAAATATATTGTCTGGGACTGTATTTTTATTTCATTTTGGGTGTGAAGATACAGTTCATTCTAACAGTAGTGCTCCAGTCACGCTGTGTTCACTTCATTGTGGAAATTGGTGCACCGAGGTTTGAGTTTGGCTCCTGTAAGGAGCACAAAATATCTGTCCTATGCTGTGATTAGGAAATGCTCTG